ACATTTTTGTGTCTTGTTTGAAAGAAATGAACCTTGCAGATAAGGTGCACCTCATTTGAGTGTTTTATTTTTTATTTTTTATTTTTTCTTCTGGTAAAGCACTGATATGAAGACCAATTGTTTAGGGGTTGAATAAAGTTTTTTATTGTGATTACAGAATATACTTATATTGTTCCACTTCTATATTTTCCCCTTTTATTTGACTGGCAAAAACAATGAAATTTCTTTTTGTGTAGAAGATAATAGTCATTTCTCAATGCTAGCACATAGATTTGAATGTTTGATTCATTGTGCATATATTTTGTTGGAGAATTATTATGAAAGTTTGTTGACCATATTTACTCTGCTTCTCTTATATCCTTTGCAGGAAATGTCATTCTTGAAACACTTTTGGGGTGACATAAAGTCTTGTCTTTTCGTATATGAGTTGCATGGATTTGCATCCTTTTCAGGTCTAAACTAAACCTAGAGTGATACTTCATCCCCGTCCTTCCATTGTGGTAGCTTGTTAGATTACATCACAGGGAGATAGTGATTTACTTTATCTGGCGAAAATGACAGAAATCTTCAGCTACACAGCTTGCAGACAGTAATTGCAAATGTTATCGGCCATAGTCTTCTTTCACGTTTCTGAATACCTTCTAGCCATTGCCATTCATGGAAGATCAAATGTATCTCTCAGTTCCCTTTTGGTCAGCAAAAGCTATCTTCTTCCAATGATCTGTTCATTGCTAGAGTATTTTCTTGACATTTATTTTTTTTCCCTGGGTTGAAGGCATACTGGTGGATAAGCAACTTTGGCCTTGGAATGGTTGTAATTGGAGAAATCATACGAAAGATAGCAATTATAACAGCTGGTCGGTCCTTCACTCATCGTATTAAGATTTATCATGAGGAGCATCACAAGTTGGTGACTCATGGAGTGTATAAATTTGTCCGCCATCCAGGATACTGTGGTTTTTTCATTTGGTCAGTAGGCACTCAGATAATGCTTTGTAATCCGTTGTCAACAATTGCATTTGCTATTGTTGTTTGGAGCTTCTTTTCAAAAAGGATACCATATGAGGAGTACTTTTTGAGGCAGTTTTTTGGGCCACAATATGACGAATATGCCCGTTTGGTTCCTTCTGGTGTTCCATTTGTGAAGTAATGATTTATGCATTTGTGAATGGGGCTTCCTCACTTTTGTTATATCCATCTCTCTCCATCAAGACAGCTTTACAATAGATTTCATCAAGGCATTCCTGGCTTATAGCTTCACAATAGTTTTCATGAAAACATTCCAGGCTTATTTGATGTTGAACAAATTTTAAAGCTGTTCGGAGTGACTCAAATTGATCTTCTTGGTACATGGAATATCAACTAGATTTATCGGAGGCCATTGTAATACTCAACTGTAAGATTTTTATTCTCGACTTGTAATACTTGTTTATACTCACTTGTGTATGGCTTGGATTTTTATATTGATTTGGTGCATGTCTGTTTTGTGTAGCATTCATTTTCCATTAATTATGACCTGAATATACAGACTGATTTCAGAGATCTGTCCATTTGTTTTCTTATTCTTCTTAAAAGACCCTAATCCCTGTCCATGAACATAAGGAAATAATTTAGATAGATTGAGAATTCCTTTAGGGTGTGACTTGGTCCATCTAAATTCCATTTCTTCACTTATTTCCTTCATCACCATCTTTCTTAGTTTTCTATGTACACACACAGGACAAGAACAGCGTCCGTAGTTCTTATAATATTTTTCTAGTGTACATTTTTTTCCTCTCTCGGTAAGGAGTTTGCATTATATCTTGTAACTTCAGTAGTTATTAATCCTATAAATGTGTAGTTGCTTTCTAATTTTTTTTAGGCACTGTATCAGTAAATATAGAAAACTAATCAATCTCTTCGAGAAATTATAGCAACATACACATTATTTGTACTTCAACTGTTATCATGGAATAAAAGAACTGGAAATAATCTCCTTTTCTATTTTCCTTTTGGCTGAAAAAATTCCCCCCCCCCCCCCCCCACCCCCAACTCAGTTGAGTGTGAGCCAAACAAATAATACCCTTCTTGTGAGGTTCAAAAGAAAGAGAGCACAGAAGAAATTACAGTGGATCTGAAAGTGAAATACATTTGCAGTCTGTCTTGGTTACATCCCATGAAGGAATGAACAGTGATTGGGAGCTTAGAGGAAGAGGACAATGAAGATAGAGAAGGGTGATTAGGGGCTTAGAGGGACAGTACGGAGAAAAGATAGAAGCGGGGAAGAGAGACACTGATTGATACACACACAAAATTGTAGGAACAAAATATGCATAAAATGAGTGGTAGAAATGAAATATTGAGATGAATTTGCTGTTGGACAATAAATGAATTGAACACAATTGTGAAATGGTTGAAGAAACACTGATTGAAGATAAAATGAGAAAATTGATAAAGATGATTTGGACATATATATAAAGAATACCATTACGGGCACCAGTTTAGAAGAGTGCCACATCAAGAACAATGTCAGAAAAAAAAAAAATATATATATATATATATATACGGAACATTGAGACTATAACCTTTGATAGAACAAAATAGAAAAATAAATTTCTTGTAGCCAAACTCAGATAGTTGAGAAAAAGCTTTGCTAAATGGAGTTGAATTAATGTGTTAGTTGGTAGGAAATCAAGGCATTCACATGTGAATAAGTGATAGAATTAAATGTTTTTGTTTGCCTAGGAAAATTATTGAGTTGAATTAATGTGTTAGTTGATAAAGATGGTTTGGACCTACATACTATCATGAGTAACGAACGATTATAGGATAAGTGTGGTGTGGTGGCTGATCACATGCTTTTCTTTTTCTCTATGTTTTATTGGGCCAGCTGGCAACACCACACGGATAGTCCACAACAAGTGTTAAAATAATCTACTTATTTACGTGCCAATCATAACCCTTATGCGGATTTTTTTTATACATAAATTATAAATGATCAACGGTAATAGAATCGTACTAGGTTGATCTAGATCTAATCTTAAAGGTCAGATTATCAACAAATTGGACGGCTCAGATTTTCCGTCAAAGACATGGGCGGTTGGGATGCTTTGAGGCTGAAAGAGAAGTGAGGTCATATCCTCTAATGCAACCATTGCATTGGCATTGGGGTCAGGTGGGGCCCTGGGGGCAGGACCAAGACTTGCAGTTATCAACGTGGTCAGGTTAGGGACGGCAGCAGCCGGTTTGGGGTGGGAATCCCAATCCCCCATCCCCACCTCGTTTAATTTCCTTACCCCATAACTGTTCCACAACTAATTACAAAATCTCCCCTCCGCCCCCTCCCTTCCCTCATCCACCCTGCCCCAAATTGGCCGCTGTTAGAAGTGTATCATATTCGGTCCGAATGGGAAGTGAAATGAGTATATATAGGTTGGATGTTAGTTCCACCAAATGGCTTAAGCTTTTGGATCGAACCGGGAAGCATTTGGCCCGTTACACCCGCTCTGTTTAAATCCCTAACTATACTAAGAATCAAACCACTGAATGTCAAACCTTCAGTATTTTTTGTTAATGCCTTGAAAATCCTTTTTTATTCATCACCAAAACAAGGCATAGATACTAGTACTACACCAAAACCCACGTAACACAAAGCCATTTACAGAACTACTCCATATCCATAACCAATGCCATAAAGAAAAACAGGAAAAAAGTAAGAGAGAAACTCAAAATCTCCTTCACGGCTTGAGCAATACATATATTGATTTGTATAGTGAGAGGGAGGGGGAGAGAGAAACAGAGAGCTGATCTCGATCTCCTTCACAGCTTTACCTCGAACTGAAGCACCGATCGAAGATAGAGTCACGGAGACAGCGAGGAGAGCGGAGAGGAGTCGTCGTGAGAAATGATTTATGCATTTCTCAATGGGGCTTCCTCACTTTTGCTATATCCATTTCTCTCCATCATGACAGCTCCACAATAGTTTTGATGAAGACATTCCAGGCTTCTTTGATGTTGAACAAATTTTGAGGTTGTTTGGAGTGACTCAAATTGTTCTTCTTAGTACATGGAATATCAACTAGATTGATCCCGAGCCATTATTATACTCACCTGTAAGATTTTTATCCTTGACGTGCAATAGTTGTTTATACTCACTTGTGTATCGTTTGGATTGCCATATTGATACGTTGCATGTCAGTTTTGTGTACCATCCATTTTCCATTATTTATGACCCGTCCATTTGTTTTTTTCTTCTTCTTAAAAGACCCTAATTCGTTTTCATACATATGGAGAGAATTAGAGAGATTGACAAACCCTTTAGGGTATGACTTAGTGCATCTAAATCCCATTTGTTCACTTATTTCCTTCATAACCATCTTTCTTACTTTTCCATTTACACACACAGATCACGACAGAGGCCATAGTTTTTGTATTATTTTTCTAGTGTACATTTTTTTCCCTCTCTCGGTTGGAGTATACATAATATCATGTAACTTCAGTACTTAAGCTATGAATGTATAGCTACTTTATAATTTTTTAGGCATTGTGCTAGTAAATTTAGAAAACAGAACGTTGATCACTTGGAGAAATGATAGGGAGATGCACACTATTTGTACTTCAAGTGGTTGTCTATTGTTTGTGAAACTATTCTGTCACTGTATCATTGAATAAAGGAACTTGGAATAATCTCTTTTTCTATTTTTCTTTTAGCTGAGGTAGCGGAGGATTTGTTTTTCTTTATATTTATTTTTTATTTTATTTTTTCTTCTCCTCGGGGGAGAGTGAGCTAAACAAATAAAAATGTCACAATAACTGTCAACACATTAATTGAATACATGTGTTCTGAAATCTAGATTGATGAAGCTTCTGGTAACTGTTGCACCTGATTACCCGAAGCTTGAGTCTATGCAAAAAAATGGACAGTATATGAAGAAAAAAATATATATAATAATAATAATGGTGTAAGCTCCTCATTTACACCATTTCACAGCAAAATTAGTTTGACAGCAGAAACAAAAAAAGAGAGAGAATAAAAACATAAATCTAGATTACATCTTGGTAGGAAGCAAAGGCATGATTACATCTTGGTGCATAGCAAGTAAATGTCCAATAGAAATTTCGAAGAAACACTTTACAAATTGCAGCAAAATGGCGATGAATAACCTCATGTAAGATCCACAACTAAAGAGGAATTAGTGTTAGTGTACAAATGTACAGAACCTGACTGTAAACGAAAGACAAAAAAGAAGCCTTCTGTTACTATGCAATATCGAAAGTGGTCAGTCAGATTGCGGCAACAAGAAGCTGAAGCCTGAGTCCTCGCGAACAAGAGGTGGTGGTTCAATATCAGAGATGTCTATTTGTTCCATCGACTTTGATATGTCATCCACCGAAAATGGAATGCTGCATTACGAATCATTACAAGACATCAGTGATCACTACACACACAGCAGGAATAGCGGGGCAGGTTCTCTGAACATCAGAAATTATGGGAATCCTACACATCTACACAAGATTGGTTTCATTCATAAATCTCTATCCATTTGGACCACTCTTCAATTTTTTATTTTCTTTTTCTGATTCAATATATATATATATATATAAATGTCACAATAAGTTCAAAGTAACATTAAGCTCCAGGTAAATCTTCAATTAAGTTCCAATGAGATGCAACGTGAAATATGAAACAAAAGGGCAAGAAAAGGAAGGTAGAAGAGATCATCCAGTGGAAGCATGTTGATGCTAACCTCGAATCATCATCTAATAAAAAAGAATTGCTAACTGCACTGTGTGAGTCTTCAGTCATCAACACCCTCATGCTGGATATAACCTGAATGCCAAATCTTATTGTGGTTAGTATTGTCAAAAATGCATGTGGTATGGAATTTCTCTCTTGTGACGAAGATGTCTTGAACCTAGTTTGAATAATCGCATTCATAAAAACTTACATCTGGGGAAACACTATGAGTGCCATACTTGTCATCCCAGTACATTGTACTGATCCGATATAGCTGCTGTATGCTAAGCACCTGAGGAAAGAAAAATAAAACAAGTAAAACGCTAGTTGATACCTGGGGAAGATGTGAAGGTAGAAATGACTGTATCTCCTGTTATTTCTGGGAAGAGAAAATGTCTCTCACCGGGCACAGGTCACGGCTTATTTCATTCAGTGATTTCTTTGGTTTCTGATGTATAACCTGAATTAGAAAACGTAATGTTTCAGCAGTTTTGCCACTTTTCTTTCAAGATGGAATTCAAATATGAATAGCGCAAAGATGAGATTACCAGAAATCCTATTGCCTGTCTGATATGCTTGAGCTCATCCCACGCTGAACCTGCATACTGCAACAAATTTTTTTTTTTTTAATTCATTTTTTTCCCGGGTCAAATAATACAATCACTAAGTGAAGTGACAGTAAATCCAAGGTACCTCATCGGTTGCCTTGTAACACCAATTTTCCAATTCAGCCAGTCCTGCTTTAACATATTCACCATTACTAAACGAACAGCATTCTCGCCTTAATAGAAGGCTGCAACCAGAAGCAGTGTATGCAGAACCATAAGAAAATACTACACCCACAGTATAACAACTCAAAAGCATCCAAACAGAAGGCATATGACAATACCTGTTGAATAGTTGAACATTGATGAAAGAAAATATTTGTGTGAAAACCTTACGAACTAAAAATGGGGGCACCTGAAAAAGATAAAAGAAGAAAATAAATAAAATTAAAATTAAAATTAAAGAAACAGAAACAGTTAAGCAAAAAGGTAATTTCACTGCAAATAATTAAAAAACACAAATACCATAATGCCGGAAAACATTTCCAATGAAAGCTCAATAATACACTGCATAAAAGGTAATTAATTTCCGAAGTCTGCACTGCTGGAATTGGCTTGGGCACTTGAGCCACAACAGTATCAAGAAGAAAGACTACTATAGCCAATCTTCCTAACATCCAAGTATTGGGGGAAAAAAAAAAGGAATAACATAAAGATGGAACAAAAACAACAAAACTTTCACTAACATGATTTTCTTGCAAAGTGTTCAAAAAATTTCCAAGGCTCTTCACAATCCCTTGCCAATGACCAATCAAAGCTTGCTGGGCCGCAGTGTTTGCAACTGAACGTGGTGAACCCTTAACTAAGCTTGCTCTGGAAGTTCTTGGAGCCTGATTATCAGATCCAAACATAAACAGCTAAATGTTTATAATTCAGAAGGAGCAAAGTTAGAAATATGAAGTAAATGGAGCATCACCTTTTTATATTAGTCGCTGATTAGTTAAGTAACAGAATTACTTATAAAAGAATAATAATAAATAAATAAAAATAAAAATAAAAATAAAAAATTTAGTTAAGTAACAGAATTAGTTACCTGGATGCACAACCCAAGCAATGGAGAAATCTCTTTTTTAAGATTATCTCGGATCATTCCATAAATCTTCTCTACATATGCTGTAAGTTGCTGCTTGAAAAGCAAAGCCGGGTACTTGGCTTCAACTTGGTGTAAAGTTCCTACTCCAACAGTAACGCCACCATTTACAAAGGAGAGACTAACTCCTTGCGGAGTTCCACGGAAACTCTAAAAGAAAAGGACAAACTGAAGTTACTAAAGCACTAAAACTTTGCTAAATGGAAGAAAATCATTTGGTTCAACTTAAAAATTTTGGTTACCTGCGTCATCCTCCCAAACAGACTAACTGAAGATCGACGACGTTGAGGAGCCATTCCAGCTGCACCACTGGCTTTTAGTGTACGCTGAAGTAGCAGCAAAAGAGTTGAGGAATTGGATAACCAATAGGCCAAGGCATCATTGTTATCCTGGGTTTTCTGTTCAAATGATAATGTTTGAGTCAAAACAGGCTTCTGATGTTTAAAAAAAAAAGAGGGTGGTATAAAGTATTTAATAGTTCAAACCTCAATAGCATGGCCTATGGTTTGAATGATTCTATCGAACACACTAGTTCGCTCAACTTCAAAAGATCTCCATTGCAGAAGGCATTTATAAATGGTACACGCAGCAATTGGTCTATTTCCCGTGAAACCTAGGTCTTGTGCAATACATCGAATGAGTAACTCCTGATTCTCCTGCTGTTTCTCATTTAGTGATTTTTGTGGTTTTTCCTCCACTTCAGAAAAATCCCTCTGGTTCATTGAAGAGCTATGCAGATCCTAATGCAATTTTACAGGTGATCAGCAAAATGCATAGTTATAGAGATAAATAAATAAGTTCAGTAACACAAATATTGAGTTTAAACAGTCAATTTACCAGTTCCATCTTTCTATCCCCAAAAATATGACCACTTTCAGCACCCCTCTGACAGTTAAAAAAACAAGAAAATGTAAATATCATCAGAATTATAAAGTTATTTTCCTAATTTGACATATAAGGTTCATTTCTTCGAGTACCTGAACAATTGACCTAGAACGTCCTGAGAGGAATTTATTAGGTGCCAAAGTCACAGCCTGTTGTCGGAGAACCTTATTCTCTGATTCTATATTGGTGAGCTTCTCTTCTAACCTAATTGCAATTTAAATGTTAAATTAACCACATCCAATAAGACAAAAGCAGTGGTGTTGAGTCAGTTGACTACTTTCAAGATACAAAGGTGTAGATAAAGGCTCTATAATGCAGTCGGTGGACTATGCCTGATCAAGAACATCTGACACTTATCCAATTATATCCATAGAACAAAAACTTAAAAAAAATAAAAAATAAAAAAAGGCTGGACTCAGCATTCCTTGTGGGAAAGCAATGCATTTATTAGACTAGAAATATAAAAATAAGAAAAATGAGATAATTGTGTAAAGGCTTGAATAAGATGAATCACTCATTCACAGCTCTAGTATTTATAGATAAAAAGAGCACATGCTCATATTACAAGAAAGGAAACTAAATCAACTCTAATTCAAATCATAACATATTCTAAAGCATATTATATGGCATATTCTATAGCATAATCAAATCTCTGCTAATATGGTAAGTTATTCCATAAATCGTGACTTCATATATGCTAACACTCCCCCTCAAGTTGGTGCGTGGATATCTGAAACGCCCAACTTAAACAATGCATTCTCAAACACAATCTTGTGGATATCTGCAAGCTGTTGAGAGCTTGTGACACATGGCCTGCAAATTTGACCAGAGATGATCTTCTCTCGAATGAAGTGACGATCAACAAATCAAAAATGTCTCCTCATACCATAAACAATTAACAATGTTTCCTCAAACCATAAACAACCAATTATGTCTCATCAGACCATAAACAACCAACAATGTCTCCTCAGACCATTTCCTTTCCTACACATGTTTAAAACATGTAGATGGAAGAATCAACAATGTCTCCTCAGAACATTCCGCTTCATACATATGTTTAAACAATGTACATGAAATAATCAACAATGTCTCCTCAGACTATTAAAAGAAACAAATTTGTCTCCTCAGACCATTTCTGAATAGGTGGTGCCAAACTCGCAATGCCCTCATTGAGGTCGGAACACCCTGCCAACCTGACACCTCCCGGATGGGCGATGTCACCTTAGACCATTCCCGAATACAGAAGAAAAATTGAGAAAATTGTGTAAAAACTTGAATGAGATGAATCACTCATTCACAGCTCTACTATAGATAAGAAGAGCACATGCTCATATTACAAGAAAGGAAACTAAATCAAATCTAATTCAAATCACAACATATTCTAAAGCATATTATATGGCATATTCTATAGCATAATCAAATCTCTACTAATATGGTAAGTCATTCCATAAATCGTGGCTATCATATATGCTAACAATTAGCAATCATTTGGTAGTGCAGCTACAGTACAAGGTGCTAGAATTGCACAAAGATGTGGAACAGCGTGTCGTGGTCTTTGAATTTCAATTAGCTTCATAGCCATGGAAAGGAAGATGGTGGAAAAGTTATACTCTGATCAGTCATTATACAGCATGTAAAGGATATCTTATATCTACAAACTTACCATACGTAATTCTCCAGCATCTAGTCATTAGGATAGTAATTTATACAATTATAAACTTAACTCAAATGTATATTGTTATAAAACTGGATACATGTAAAAACAACAGATATGTTGCGCTTGATCCTTGGCTCAATCCCTCACTGACTCCATCTACGGTTTACCCATATGAAAGGAGAAGTTTCTTGCATACATATTTTATTCCCTGTAGCTCACTCTTAATCCTTTGTCTATCTTGTATGCACAAGGATGAGAATAAGCAGCCTGATTCTTGCTTTTTATTCTTTTAAAAGTAATCTTTGTTTGTGCTTTGAAAGAGAAGATGGACATTACATATGAACTCATGTTTTGATTAGCAGGTAGTATGTGCATAGGAATAAATCTAGTGAAAAATATATCAAACACATTCAAAGATGAGATTTGTTAAGAAAAAAAAATGAATAATGTCGGGATAATAGATGTTAATCGGTCGTACTACCTGCTTAATGAATCCTGAAGTTGTAGAACTTTTCTATCTGTTTCATCCAACTTTTTACGTCTTTCTTCACTAGATTCTTCAGACTCAGCGTATTTCCTCCCCAAATCATCATTTTTGTCCTTTTCTGACTGCAGCAAGGCCTGGGGAACATGAAACAGAGGTCAAAAAAAAAAAAAAAATTCAAAAAAAAAAAAGGAAGGAAAAACTCAATGGTATTTTTTTACTAGCTGAACAGAAACATGTCTATACAAGCAACACGCCATGAGAATCCAAATATAAGTGGAATTCAAGTTGGCAAATTCTCAACAACATTGAAATTTTGAAAGTGTCAATCACATGAGGCGAGCTCACGTTTGAGGTGAAATGAATAAAGAAATACTAGAGTAACAGAATGTCTCTCTTTTTTTCTTTTCTTTTTTTCTTTTTTTTCCCCTCCCTGTTAGAAATATTTAGGCCACTGGTTTTTAATGTAAATTTATAATGCCTATATCAAGTATTTATCTAAGGTATTTGTTAAGGGAAAGAAGTTCTGAGTAATTATAGAAAAGCAATGGACTCAAGAATTAAAGCAAATAGAATATATAACTTTTTTTCGAAAGGTAAATATAATATATAACTTTATATTGCATGTTATACTCCATAAGCATGTTATGTCTGTTTTCTCCTTACATTATCTATAATGTAGAACAAGGATTGCACCAATTTTTCAAAAACTTTTTAATTCATTATGCCAGATCATGTTTAATATTCTTGTTTTCTGTCCAAGTGAAAAAACTCAAAGTAGTTACATGAGCAATCTCATTCCGGGAAAAAATCCTTGTGTCCCTCATTTTGTTAAGGCAGACAGGAACTTAGGCAGAATTCATACAACAAATATTCTATGGCGCTGAGGGTTGATCCATGTGAATGCTAGGAGATGTAATCCAAGTATAGACCTAACCTTATAGCATTATTTGAATAAAGTAGCTGCCCTCATACTTGAACTCACATTCTCACACTTTGCAAAGAGTGGGTGCTCTATTGTATCAGAGAAAAATAGCCAAAGAGACAGATTGTTTCTTGAGCAAGAGATGCAAAAATTTTAAAGCAAATGAGTGTGGCATTCTTGTTTATTATTAGAAACAATTTTTCATATGCTATTCAATGCAACAGAAGTAGAATGTATATTAGTATAAATCTGAACAATTAAAATACAAGATTCCATGTATCTGATATGACGGAACATAAATTGTATACTATCCAGTGCTTTATTCATTACTACCTCTAATCTCTCCAATTTTGCAGTTAGCGATTGAATTTTTTCGGTATCTTCAACAATAATTGGGGTCTCCTTGATAACAGGTGGTGCTTCTTCAATTGCCTTCCTTGCAGCATCTCGTTCCTTGACAACCAATGCATTTGTTTCATCAATTCTTTTTTGTGTATCTCGCAAAGAATTCTGCAATTTGGCGATCTCTTGCACTTTTGCTTCTTCCAAGTCAGTCTGAAACATGATTTCAAACTTTGGCATGAGGATATATATACATATATGTATATGTATATATATATACTTTGTGTGTGCATGTGTGTGTGAGTGTGTGTGTGTGTGTGGGTATAGATTTTAAGTTCTTGAAATGGTGCAGAATCGAGGAAGTAATTTAATGACATTGAAGTCAAACATTTCTCTGTAAGATTAACTGACTGACAGTCCACCCAATAATTCTGTAATAACTCAAGATTTCGTTGCAATGTATCAGTCTAGTATATCAACTTCCCATAGAAGATGTAAGCAACTGAAATTAGCGTTATTCTTCATAAATATAATGTCTTTTTGAAGAATGTAGCATTACCCTTAATCGTTTTTCCAACTGTACACGCCATGTGAGTTCCTCCACTTGTTTTTCAAGCTTATCCTTTGCTTCTTTAAGGGCACCTGTTTCCCTTGCGGCCTGCAGAGGGTTGGAGTTGGAGGTTAGTATTCAAATTTTAACAGGAAAAATTTTATTACATGCTATACATGCTATGCATAGAGATTCAACATAAAGTCCTTATATGCCAAGAAATTGTATGCAATCCATGTAGGTCTAAGTAAGGTTCAAGAGGAGAGCATCTGACCCCGCACACCCTTTAAATTTCATGTATGCAGATTACCCGTCACTGTACGAATATTAATCATGGATTTTCTGATACCAATGGCATATCAGTTCCTAGAATATGATAATATGCAACTTAAATAGAAAAATGTCAGCAATGTTGACCATTTTGAGATTCCGTAGCTCCCTCCTGGCAACTCTTCCCCTCCATCTGCATTGTGTAACTATTGATCCTCTCTTGAGCTTCTTGTAGTATGAGAAAGCTCTATAGCAACGCCACCCGGCCTGCATAACAATAGCATTTATTTGAGAGCCTAATTCACTATAAAATGAATCTTCCAAGCTTTACAATATCATAAAGCATCAACCTGAATAATAATTGCAGCTTTAGTCTGCTTCCTAAATCTGAATTCTTTTCGAGCATCCATAGCACGCAAACCAGTTTGCAGGGCAAGCACCGAAACCCAGAGTTTTCTATAGGCTTTTCTGGCTTGGTATCTACGTGTGTGCTTCTGGATATTCAGAGAAGCTGCCTCCCTTCTCATATTCTCATAAAGTTTGAAAGCCAGTCTACCTAAAAGTCATATAAAAATATGTGAAAAAGGAAAATGCTTAAGTAGTCAACCTACGCCCTATGGTGCAAGCTGCAAGGAGAAAGAGAAAGACAGAGAGGGAGGTGGAGAAAGAGTGAGTGAGAGAGAGATAGAGAGAGAGAGAGAGGAGAAATTGGTACGGAATAGACTAAGGACTGAAGTGATAGTTCCTAAGAACAGATCATGTGGCAGACAAAGTGATTTAAGCTTCAAGGATTTTCATATGGCTCACCTCTACATAGGGATTGCACACAAATGGCAGCCTTCCGCAATGCTATGAAACGTTTACGAGCATTATGAGTTCGTACGCGCCATTGTATGGTTTTCGCTGCATTACTAAGTACCTCTGCCCTTCGTGCATCTAATTCAGCCATCTGACCAGCTCTCAAAAAAACCTTTGTTTTGCCAATCTGCAAAAGCATTTGGTAGTCAATTATATTGATGCCTCCAGAAAAAGATTAGTGGCTCAATCCCTTTAGCTCAAAAATAATTTCATTTACAAATCATCATCATCAACTTTGCCTTTGTCCCATATGGATGGGATCAGCCACATGAATTCTTTCGTTCCATTCTTTCCTATTATATTCCATGTCTTCTCTTGGATTTAATTTTTTAAACGTTCTTTATTATTTCATCCCATGTAAGTTTTGGTCGGCCTCTTTGTCGCCTTCCTTCTAGATAAACAATTCTTCCTCTGCTAACCGGAATCGCATTTACAGATATATATATATGTGTTTGTGTGTGTGTTTGAAATAATTGAAATGATATCTACATACTTAGACCCGTAGATGCACCAATAAAGAAGATTAGTTTACATAGAAGGTAAGAGACAAACCAAAACTAAAATGGGATGAAGTTATTATAACTTCAAAAATTCAATATAGGAGAAATGGCTTATAATAGAAAAGAAAGAAAAATAGAATTCATGTAGTCAATCTAATTCATATGAGAGATAAGGCAAGAATGATGATGATTATGTCTCAAATAGTTGAACTGTAATTATCATACAGATTAGAGTTATACGGTTACAGTAATATGCGGATATTTAGAATAGCTGGTGAAGCTTTAAAATTTTATATAAGATTAAAGAGAATGGAGTATCAGAAAACAATATGATCATTATATTAGTGATTAACAGCAGTTATAACAAGAAAAGAGACCACTGTACTATTACCTGGAACCCTTGAAGACCCTTCTTTTCCAGAATTTTTCTGCATGTGATTTTTTCATCGTAGCTGATCATAGATGCATTACATTCAGAAAGAACGTTCAGAGCTATTCAAGTAAGAATACTCCAGCAGCAGATGTAAAATTGGTCAGGAACCATAAAGATAAATCAGATTATAACAATGTCACCTTTCATGCAGCAATTCAAGCTAAAAGAGGGTACTTACTTCCCTTCCAAAAACTCCGGAGCAAGAAGTCCAAATCGATTTATGAATTCAAAAAAAGCACGGCGAGTAGGATATCCAGCACAACTGATTCTGATCGCCTCTAAAACACCCTACAAAGACAAGAATTAACTACATCAACTGTGCAAAAGAAATAAAATGTTAGATAAGCCCATTTAAAATAACAAAAAGAAAAAAAAAAATAGAAAGAAAGAAAAAAGAAAAGCGCAAAACCACATATATCAAATGTACTCACACCACAACGCAACTGTTGCATGATGTTGTCATTTTCAAAAATGGCAGGTTTCAGAAGATTATTTGGCTTTACACATCTAATGTAATGAGGCTCTGTAGCATTTAATGTTTCCATCAACTGTTGTAGTTGTAGCTGCACCATTAGATTGTAATAACATTGGTTGTCAAAAAATTTTATTTTGGCAGGTTATATTAGCTATCAACTTCTTGCTATGAAAAAAGTCAAAGATCAATTTATTGAGACTGACATGATGTGGTACTTTATTTATTAAATCAGCTATTGTTTATTCAAGGTTAATTAACAAACATTACACCAAAACAACAGAAGTGAATATACCTTAAAACGAGAACCAATTGAAGAAAATTTTGAAGATTTGGTAGTTTCTTCAGGGATTGGAGGGAAAAGGCCTGTTACAAAAGAACATTTGGAAGTACCCAACAAATCCTGATATTCAGGAACCACATAGTCTTTGTTTTTGTCCAGAAATTGGTCAGATTGATATTGAACCTGGAAATAAAAGGAATAGAGAAAATATCTAAATGCAACAAAAACCCACAGTACATAGAAATCACGCATAGTAACTGAACATACCTCTCCAGCATAATGTGAAATTGTGAAATCTGTTCGAGAGAGTTTTGGCTTGATGAAGCGCTTGTGATTTTTAAATGTCTGATAAAGCTTATTCGAAAATGTTTCATGTGTTGACTTCGGAAACATACTGAAAATAAAGATGCATGGTAAACAAGAATAAGAAATTACCAATTTATGATTTAGTGAAAACCTTGGATCTGAAATTTCTTTGCAGATTGATAAAAACAACTACATTTAGAAGATTTTGCTACCCACAGAGGGAAAAGGGAAAAGAGAAGAAGAGATAAAGGAATTTGTAAGATAATAATTCTAAAAGATCATGAAGAGCTTCTTTTGAGAATGAAACAGAAAAGAATCAAAGCAAAAGTGAAGGAAAATCAGAGTACCAGGCTTCGTCAAGGAGCGCGACGATTCCACCCGGTTTCTGCAATAAGAAGTACCACAAGTTATAAAATTATAATGGAAGACATATTATGACAACAGTGTTCAAATAGATGAATGAGCATTTAGCCCATGAATGTAAAATAAAAAATACTCAAGGGACACATGCCCATCTTCATGGAAATGATTTTTAGATAAAATAAAACAAGTTCATATTATTTTACATTTAGCCCATGAATGTAAAATAAAAAATACTCAAGGGACACATGCCCATCTTCATGGAAATGATTTTAGATAAAATAAAAAAAGTTCATATTCTAGGATCATTTATTGTTTACACATTCCTCTGTCCTCTTTCCTTTTGCTTGATAAAGAGCCCATAAAATTAGAAATTTCTAAGCCTAATTTACGTGCATAATCAAGTGATATATAGGAGACACAATATTTACATTTTTGGTTACGTAGAAGTGTCAAAATATCAATATTAGAATCTCCATTCCACAAAAAATATATGAAAAATAAAGGAAAAAATGAAAATGTAAATAAACTAATAGAAATAAGAAGAAAAATGTGATGTTCTGGCCCGAATTTGGCGCCGAGTCACATTGCGAACGATTTATGACCTGACGACCCATTGGAAAAAAAAATTACCCATTTTTTCCTTGTGGGTCGTGGACCCTAATTAGTACTCTCTCGTAACCTGATATATAAGGATGTTTAGGGTTTGGAATGGGACATAGAGAGAATGAAAATACAGAAAAAGAGAGTTATAACGAGAGCTAGGGTTTGGGGCTGAAACTTGTAATCTCCATATTTTTGCATGGTGAAAACTTTTGCCGGATCTTCAACATGGATGTAGGCTTTGCCGAACCACGGTAAATCTTTGTGTTCTTTGTGTATGGTGTGTTTATTTTCTGTCGTGTTTTGTAATTGTTGCTTGGGTTCGCTAGGTTTATAATACAAACTGATTACATTTGTGATTGTTGCTTAGGTTCGCTGCATTTGTCGTAACAAAAAAATAAGCACAAATGTTCTGAAAATAACATTAACAAATACACACATATAATCACCACATTGTGAACCAAGAGACAACATATAGTTTTTGTTGTCAGGGGCTTATTTGTTATTATTTTTATAATGTTGGGGCTTATGTGTAATTTCTTAAACTTGTTATTATAAATAGAATGTGGTGGAAGGATGAAAATATTTTTTTCATTCTTTCTCTCTTTCCCCATCTCTCTCTCTTTTTCTCTCATCCGCTTTCTTCTGTTTTTCTTCTTCTTTATCACTTACTCTTGATTTGATTATATCTTGAAGTCAACATGGTATCAGAGCATGATTTGTAAAGTTCTAGGTATGTAGTTGAAACCTATGTAACATGGACTCAGGTACGGGTGTCGGACACCCGTATGTATCCATGTGCTGGACGTGTCAAATCTCCAAATAGAAGGACACATGGACACGGCTAAATATTCATTTTATTAATTATTTTATTTTATTTTCTAGAGTAAAATAATATTTTTATCTAATATAATGTTCAATATAGGCATTTAACTCATTTAAAAGTAATAATATAATGTAATTGAATGATTGGATATGCTTTTTAAGTACATGTCTAACCAAAAGTGTTGGGCACATATCACATACCCATTTCCGAGGGATATGTGTCCGACATGGGTACTTCACTGCTTTTGAAGAGTCCATGTAACAAAGGTTGAGACCCTAGGGCAAGTTTGTGTAAACCCTAGTGGGTGTGAAGGGTTTTGAAGAGATTCCAAGATGGGATTTGTTTGCAAGGAAGTAGTGTTATTCACATCCACACATACCGCGGATCCAACTTTTTGGACCTGTTTTTTATCTATTACAGTCTCAATTGGGTTTTTTTTTTTTTTATGTTCGCGAGGTTCTGCAACTGCAGCTTTTTCTTCGTCGTTCGTTATTCTGGTATGGTCTACTTTGTTGCTTTCTAGGGTTTCTGTGGTGACTATGTGGTCGCTTTTTTATGTAGCTCAGAATACAGTAATCTTTCTAGTTGAAGTTTGTGTGTTAGAGGTGTGGTTCTCTACGTATTTTGTTGCTACTTTTGTTTTTGAGTGTGAGGACCAAGTATTTTTTTTTTCTTTTTATATTTATTTTTAATTGCATTACCATCATTCATGAAATTATAGTGTTTATATTATGCTTGTAAGCATTATTTTTATTTGTGGGACATTATTGCATTTTGTTATGTTGTGGGGCCTATGGTTGACTAATTGGTAAGATATGTGTGGATAAGAATGTGTGTGATATGTATATGTGTGTTTGTATAAAGAGAGAAAGTGGAAGACAAGCCAAAACCCTCTCATTCTCCCACTCCACCAACACTCTCTCTTTTCTCTCCCATTCTTTTCTTTTTCACTTTACTTCAACCATTTCTCCACCATTTCACCTCCAACCTTTGAGATTTTGAGCTTGCCATAGAAGGGAAAGTTGACGGGGACTACAAGAGGGTTTATGTAGTGACTGTGTGGTCGCTTTTTTATATATATCTCAGAAGACAGTAATCTTTCTAGTTGAAGTTTGTGTATTAGAGAAGTGGTTCTCTACGTATTTTGTTACTGCTTTTATTTTTGAGTGTGAGGACCAAGTATTTTTTTTTCTTTTTATATTTATTTTTAATTGCATTACCATCATTCATGAAATTATAGTGTTTATATTATGCTTGTAAGCATTATTTTTATTTGTGGGACATTATTGCATTTTGTTATGTTGTGGGGCCTATGGGTGACTAATTGGTGAGATATGTATGAATAAGAATGTGTTTGATATGTATATATGAGTTTGTATAGAGAGAGAAAGTAGAAGACAAGCCAAAACCCTCTCATTCTCCCACTCCACCGACACTCTCTCTTCTCTCTCCCATTCTTTTCTTTTTCATTTTACTTCAACCATTTCACCTCCAACCTTTGATATTTTGACCTTGCCATAGAAGGGAAAGTTGATGGGGACTACGAGAGGAACAAAACCCCTCAATCAATTTCGGATTTGGAGTACATTCTTCTTTTGGAATAACTAGGGTTTGCTCTTAACTTGAGGTAGGGGTGTATTGTGGTTATAACCTGGGAGTTCGTAGAATTTTATTACCATTGTGTGAGTTATGCATACACTTGTGTGTGTGGGTTGGATTAGAGAGCTTATTTAATGATTTAATTGCATGTCCATAATGTTTTATTGAGTTCTTATGTTAATTTTCATGTGTAACATATTATTTGTTTCATTTTTGATATTATTGATGTTTATTAAAATGTTAGATTTTAGTGTGTACAATTACTTGTAATTAAAGTGTCTTATATGTTGTAATTGTTCATGGAATTATCATGTATTTGTTATCTTGTAAGGGTTAACTTTGAAGATGTGACATTAAACTTTTACATACTTGAAATTTAATATAATAATAACATGAAATCAGATGACTTTAAAATATTCAATTTGTTGACATTGCATCAAAGAGTATGCCATTATAGTGATTTGGACCATAGGACATGGATTGTGTGATTAGTATAATTTATGTGCGCTTGTAAAGTGCAATTTGGGCATATCATAGCATATGGATTATTTTGTGGACTTGTTTGTTGATTTTGGGAGATACTCGGGGGTTGTTACTTTGAGAATGCGAGGGCTTGGCGCTCGAGGGTGAAACATGAGTTTCTCCACTTTATATTGGCCAATCGGTTGGTTTCCAGCGGACTAGTAATCCGAGAACGACTATTTATATTTAAGCGCATAGCATGGCTATGTGACAGGGAGTGTGAGTGTGTTCCCAATTATTCTATTAATTGATTTCGACTTTTATTTTCAAGTTGGCATTTATGTGTTATTGCAACTTGTGGATTTATATACATTACACTATATTGTTTATGTCTGTCTTGATGAATAGATTAATATTATTTATGCTAGACTAGGATGATCCTATTTAGGTTTTCCTTGAGACTAGACGTTAGGAAGCATGTTCCTTGTATTGTATGGCCATGCCATGTTTATAGAATTTTGAGAAACCTAGTTTATATTCATGAGACATTCCTACAGAGCAATTTGTTGCTCACCCCGTTAATTCTTATATTTTTCAGGAAAGGGCATTACCCAATAGGAGGTTCCTCATCCATAGCTTGGTTGGCACATTGACAACGTTTTTGAGCTACTTGTGATAATTGTGACATCCATTGTGTAGCTTACTTTTGGACTTGTATTTTGACTCAAGGTTTATTTAGATAATATATTTGGTGACACATGTATGTATTCTTTTGGAGGAAGGAAATGACTTAGGAACTCACCCATCCATTTTTTGGAGTTCTTATGGAATTTCCTCTCTTATCTCTATTCATGTAATTCCATAAAATTATTTATCACCTTATGGTTTGTAATGAGGCCATGGTGGCAATGACTTATGTGGTGGGATTGAACATGTGGGTTCATTTGGAGAGTCTAATACAAATGGTTAATTAAACATGCTATTATTTATTTTTATGAAACTATTATTATTATTATTATTATTATACTTGTGTGCTTATGCATAAATATGCTGAACCCAGGTCTTTTGCCAAAGCATGTGTACTGCTTTGTTTCTATGTAATATATATATATATATATATATATATATATATATATATATATACAGTAGTGTTCAATTGCTCTCCGGTGAGCAAGAAAAAGTATGTTCACTTTCAATTATAGCCTTAGGATCTAATCCTATGGTTAATATAATCCTTACACTATTTTAGGAGACTGATATTATTTGAATTAGTAATTAATTACAATTAAGGTAAAATGACAATAATAGTCAGCATAAAGGAAATAAATCAATTTTGTTGGATACAACTTTTTAAGATTTGGTTGATTAACTGTGAATGGAAGAATATTATTTTCATCGAAATCATATATGAAAACTTTTTTTTGAAAGATAAGAAGTTAAGGAAGAATATAACAAGAAAATTTTTATTTTTTTATTTTTTTGCTAATCTTATTTTACCCTATCAATTAAATATGTCTTCATATTCTGGCCAATAA